GGATTTTTCGATTGTCTTCAGTATGGCATCATACCAATATAGGCCAAAATAAATCGTGAGAGATCTTGGATCATGAAGTCCTTGGTAATGTAATGTACGTTTGTCCTCTCCGTCCAAATTGCATCTATATATGAATGGACGTTTGTCGTTTTCAACCCAGAAAAATACTCTAAAACAATATCTGAAAGCTTTAGAATACATATTAATTGAAACAATTTCTCATTTCTGCTCCATTGTAGTTACTGTACTAAAATTAAAAAAAAATGTTGCTTTATTCTGAGGTCAATATCATGGACAAACTACTCAAAGGATACAATATTCACTGACCTAAAAGGGCAAAGTTAATATTGTAGTCCAAGGTTTTCTTAATAATTTCATCGCCAAAAGGGACAAATTGTGATCAGGAAAGCTATATTTTTCGAATCAAATTGTTTAATTTACGGGTGGCAATTCTTAAAATCTTTTTATTATTCATTGTCATCACAAAGAGACAGATTGCTATGTCACTACTGTAAGTCTCATAAAACGACATTGTGTGTTTATTTGTTTTTATGTACACTCGTAGATTAAACAATTTGATTCGAAAAATATATCCTGCGAAATAAAATATTGAAAATTTTATGAAATTAAAAATAAAGTCTTAAATAAAGTACGTTATTTCTGAAGCGGTGAATTTTTCATTGAAACAGTTTGACACGATACCCGAACGAGAATCGAACCCATGACCCCAGATCACAAATCAGACGATCTAACACATGGCTACAGTGACCGGTTTGTTAAAAAAAAATTGCAGAAAAAATTTCACATTATGAATACCTAATTATATTACAGTATATTACAAAACCAATGGCACTCTCTATTCAGATGTAAAAATATTTTCTTTTTCAATAAATACATGCGTACAATGATTTGATGTTATCCAAAGTTCATAAAATATAAATACAACTTAATATTTCAGATAAAATATGATTCAAAGTGCATGTCGAGATTTATGGTCTCGTAAAAATTAATAAACGATACAAATATGTAAAGAAAAGAATACATTAAAAAAGGACCACTTTAAATTTCAGAGATGGGATCAGGTGCTGAGGAGGAGTAAGCACTCCCTGTTGATGGTCTTATTCCGCTGTAATATTGAGGGTAGATGGATCATCCCGTGGTCAAAAAGAATATAAAATACAATGACTTAAAGTCAGTACAGCATTTAAAAAAGATATTATTTGTAATTAACATATTTTTTAAAAAGTTTTTACAAACTTATTTGCAAAAGGTAGACATAATATATTGAACATTCGGGCGTAGGTTTTCCCCAGTCCATTTTTCATGAACACGATTCAATTTAATAACAGTACCCGCATCGTTATTCTTTACAAATCTATCGTGTCCTATCGTGCGTGTATCCTATCGTATCGTGCGTGTATCCTATCGTATCCTATCGTATCGTGTTTTCCGTTTATCGTGTTTTGCGTTTTCTATCGTGTTTTCCGTTTATCGTGTTTTGCGTTTATCGTGTAGATCGTTTATCAGGTTCTATCGTGTATCGTGTTTTGCGTTTATCGTGCATATTCGGAAACCCTCGCTTTTTATCTTTACTACAGGAAGAAACTACCGAGATATTCCGAGTTTCTTTTTCGTTTTGTTAACTAAAATAAGATTGTTTTAACCAAGAAAGAGAAAAGATAGTTTAATTCCTTCGTTTTTCATCCTTATTATTAATATATCAAAGCGTGGAAGGAAAAGAATAAATATATGAATAATATACAGTGAAACCTGTCTAATCCGACATGCACTGGGAGACAAATTTTGTGTCGGAATAGACAGGGTGTCGGATTCCACAGTGTTAAAAACATGGAAATTAGTAAAATAAGAAAGGAATTTAACGTCGGAATCCACAGTGTGTCGGATTTCTCAGGTGTCGGATTAGACAGTTTTCACTGTAATTAATAAATCAAACAATTAATAATTAATTAGATTAAGAAAATAATTATATCATAGACAATCAGAGAATCAAAATTAATTTTTGAAAATGAAATATTCGAGTACCTATTTTTTTTTAAATCAGTCACTAGGGGTTTATTTTCGGTAAGAAAATTTTCATAATGATTCGCAGAGGATTTATATGTATCTTCTTAAAATATAATATTCATTTTTTTTTCTTCCGATCAATCGGCTGGTAATATTAGGAATGTGTTTTCGCCTCTGATCTGCATGACAATCGTACATGTATGCACAATTATTTAAAATCTTGATTTAAAAACAAATAATAATAACGAAGCTTTAAGCATTTAAGACATTGATCCAGATAACTTTTACACAGATTTTCTACGTAATACTATATGTTCAATTTTTCGAATTTATTTTAACACTATCTAATTAGTTAAATTTCTTAATATGTCTCAATTTAAAAAAGAATAATATCAAAATTATAAAACGTAATGCATAAAAATGCTCTACCCGATTTATCACACCAAGCATGGCAGTTACTATAAAATAGAAGTTTTACATTAATTTTATCTGGCATAAGAAAACCTGAAAATAATAAACAGGGAAAAAACATTACGGCTTTCAACGGCTTACCTTTTTGGCGTGGAAATAAACTAAAATATAATTCACCTGCGTGTGAAATCGAAGAGCTTTACCTACCATAAAGCTGACAGTAATGTGTACCTATGTAATCAGCACGCTGCCTTCCTGTGCTGTCAACACCCCTTCCCCTAGCCCCCTTAATGATAGCTCGGCACGTGTGTATTCACCGTTAACATATATGAACTGCTCTCTCATCTTGTGTCAAACAGTATCTATTTTCGGTATTGTGTTCATCCCTTGCTTAAACTACATGTACACTCAGATTTTTTTCTTCTAAATCAATTAAATAATTGTACAATTTATCAATTTGAAAAATCTTATCCTAGCTTGAATTTAAATTTTAAAAAAAATCACATAACTCTATCCGCTGATTTATTTTATCTGTACGATGTATCCATAACTTCATGCAAATATGATTTTTAATGAAATTAAAAAAAAATACTGCAGTTATGGAACGGATCGTCAGTTTTTCTTTCGGATCGCCGGGTTTTCATTGGTTACGGACAGAATTAATTCTAGGAAACAATTTCTTTGATCGAAGAAAAGATTGAAATAATTCTAAAATTTTAAACTATGAAGATTTGCTCGCATTATTTTTTTTTCTACGGTATTTTACTATAATAAAAAAAGAAGTCTGATTCCGCCGTGACAATGCAAGACGAATAAATGTATTGCACCCAATCAATCTATAGTATTAATCGATTTCATTCCATATGAATATATCTTTATTGAAGAAGTCAATATTATTTTTGGCTACATGTACAGTACCCGCATCGTTATTCTTTACAATTCTATTGTGTTCTATCGTGCGTGTATCCTATCGTATCGTGCGTGTATCCTATCGTATCGTGTTTTCCGTTTATCAGGTTTTGCGTTTTCTATCGTGTTTTCCGTTTATCGTGTTTTGCGTTTATCGTGTAGATCGTTTATCAGGTTCTATCGTGTATCGTGTTTTGCGTTTATCGTGTAAATTCGGAAACCCTCGCATTTTATTTTTACTATATAAAGAAACTACCGAGCTATTCCGAGTTCCTTTTTCGTTTTGTTAATCAAAATAAGATTAATTCAACCGAATAAGAGAAAATAAAGATTTATCCCGTTCTTTTTCATCAATATAAGAAATATTAAAGCGTAGAAGGAAAAAAATAATTAATACATGTAGCGTATTTCATAAAGGAATAAATTAATTTATAAATAAATTATTGATTAAATAAATAAAATATTTATATCATGGTTAAGCAGAGAGTTTGTCAAAATTTAAACATTAACTCTATTTATCGGAAATGAAATTCGATTGATCAACTTGTTTATTTCTTTAAAAAAAAACTTATCGAATTGTTTGATTTATTTTGTCAAAATTAAAATTTAATACTATTGATATGATTTTTTTTCAAATGAATCGGAGTTACCGGAGAAAGATTTTTGGTAAGCTACGATGTTCGCGTAGACAAAAAGCAAATAAATAATATAAATAATAAGCAAGATATTGAAATGTATCTTTTTTCATGCAATATTCTGTTTTTCCTTGTTTATCGTCTGATAACGTTAGAAATATGCGTCCTACCTGAATGTATGCACAATTAATATCTAAAGTCTTGATGTTGTAGACTTCTCAATGCAGGCATTGGCTGACTTTATAGAGTTCTCAATGCAGGCATTGGCCGACTTTAAAGAGTTCTCAATGCAGGCATTGGCCCACTTTGTAGAGTTCTCAATGCAGGCATTGGCCCACTTCAGTGTCTTTCAATGCAGGCATTGGCTGACTTTATAGAGTTCTCAATGCAGGCATTGGCCGACTTTATAGAGTTCTCAATGCAGGCATTGGCCGACTTCACTGCATGTCTTTCAATGCAGGCATTGGCTGACTTTATAGAGTTCTCAATGCAGGCATTGGCTGACTTTATAGAGTTCTCAATGCAGGCATTGGCTGACTTTATAGAGTTCTCAATGCAGGCATTGGCCCACTTTATAGAGTTCTCAATGCAGGCATTGGCCCACTTTGTAGAGTTCTCAATGCAGGCATTGGCCGACTTCAGTGTCTTTCAATGCAGGCATTGGCCAACTTTATAGAGTTCTCAATGCAGGCATTGGCTGATTTTATAGAGTTCTCAATGCAGGCATTGGCCCACTTCAGTGTCTCTCAATGCAGGCATTGTCCAACTTTATAGAGTTCTCAATGCAGGCATTAATCCACTTCATAGAGTTCTTAATGCAGGCATTGGCTGACTTCAGTGTCTCTTAATGCAGGCATTGAAAATGCCTTTCAATCATACTAGTGTAAATTACTTCTTGTAGTCATTGACTGACTTTAGAAATTTCTCTAAAAATGTTAGTTTCCCATTTAATATTCAAGGAGTCAATATTTTATAACCTTTTTTGCAAGAAATATCTTTTTACAGTAAATGTTAACACACATTCAAACAAATGGACACTTAATCAGAATGTTTATAAATAGTTTTATGCATTGACAATGACCTTAATGTGAATCTTTCAATGCCCCTACCCCCCACTACAAAAGATGAATCTGCAGTACATCTGTATATAATTTGAACACTGTATTAGAGATAAAAATAATATTTATTCATGTAGTTCAGCCAGCTGTTTTCCTCTTCTTTTGTGTTAAGTACCTGCCAGTGTATACCTGAAATTATGAAGATATGAAAATTATGAAGATATGCTTTAATCAACTTCGGTTTCATATAACAAACTTTTCTTATGATTTCTTATTAAACAGAACTTTCATGTAACAGGGCGAAATCAAATCAGGACGGAATTGTTTGCAAGTGTAAAGGGCGAAAATAAGACGAGGCTAAAGTATCCCTGAATACGGTTATAATTATCCATACCAATGACTTTCTCTTTGTCTTATCAACCAGCTCTTGGAGTGTTCTCTCTACTGAGGCAATGGAGTTGGAAGATTCACTTGATTCTCTTCTAACATGTATCAAGTTTTCCAAGGGGAAGTTTACCTGTGAAAATATAAAAAAACATTGAATGATAGTTAAAATCTTATAAGCATCTATGAGAATTCTCATCAAAATCCATTTTCTGAGAGATATGGATATTGTTCATTTTTATGTTATTAAGGTGAAATATCCCTAACCTCTAAATTTCATTTCCTTTTCAAATTCTACCCACTAATTAGCATCAATAACAGAGGATTAGATTAAAATGGGAATTAATTTGTAGAATGAACCATTGCTTACTTATTCCAGAATGAATATTATGCCTAATCATGATTTGAAGAAATTTTGAATCGGTGAATGATGCTGATATAAAAAAGATCTTTCCCAAAAAAAAAACCCAAAACAAAACAGCTAACTCAAGAAATTTGTCTCCCTGTTTAAGGAAGAAAAAACCATGCACATATTAGGGGAGGGTGTTGAACTCTAGGAAGGGCATGGATAATAGATTAAGATATTTAGTGGAAACTTTATTTACATTGATTGATGGTGTAAGATAGCTTTCCCTCACTGTTGATGAGAACTCCTCCCACCATTGCTTCTCAGCAGGTTTGAGAAGTCCAGACTCCAACAGCTTTGGGCAGGTTTCCTGAATAATTCTGCTTAGGTACATGCTCTTGTCTGTAGGCACCACACATTTAGGATTTCTTTTCAAAAAATCCATGTCCTTCAATTAGAATTGAAATACACATTTACAATGTTATGAAAAACACCAGTTACTATATTTGATATTTTGATAAAAAATGTAGAAGTAAATTGTATTTGATTTAGATAATCATGAACAGTAAAGAATAAAAAAAAAGGACTGTTTCTGCCCATGTGTTTACGAAATAATTGATATTGTCTAAATATGCACAAGTACTGATGTTTATAAATTGGATTTTGGACTTGTCAGATGCTATGGCATAGTTTAACAGTCATTTAACCACATATGTCCTTCAATCCCTAAAAGTTAAAATCTAGTAAATAACTTTAGACTAATTTTTGGTGCTAAATCCATTATGACATCACAATCCATTTTACGCTAGAGTGATGAAGTAAAATGAAGTGAAGTCCTATATAAAAACAGTGTTAAACATTGTTTGTGGTATAAAAAAACTTGGGATAAAAAGAATCTCACGTGATTTGTATTAGATATGATTTTTATCCAACTCGTTGTGTGTTTTTATCCCCTCACCAAGGCACGTTTGTAAAATCCACACAACTAGTTGGATAAAAACCATATCCAACTACAAATCATGTGAGATCCTATATTTATTCAGTGAACATTATCAGCTGAAATTACAAATGTAATCACCTTAAAAATTCGAATCCCACACTTATCCTGCTGATGTTCAAAGGTGTTTTCATCTTCACAGTCTGGCAGCCATCTCTCACCTTCACCCCTTCTATAATGGAAGATGGGGGCTCTGCTGTCTGCAGTAACAATCATTTATTAACAAGGTTCTTTTTCTTATTACATGTAACGAAAATTAATATTGTATTATTATGAATTGGAATGACAAAAATCATGCAGTATATCAACTCAAAGCAGTTTGTTTTATAATATATCTTTTAATATTGTCATATTCCTCTACCTTTGTCAAGAGCATGGATTCTGAATTCATACTGGTCTCCTAGACCATGGTTGTTCACCGAGTGATGTACCATCCAATCTTTAAAATCCCAGACATTCTTGACAACCTTTGATTCCTTTATGTAACTTAATTTCTGTAAAGTCTTTATCAGTTCTGAAAGGAAGGGAAACAACTTGTTGTAATTTGTACAGAAACTAGGGATGTCAACGAATAGATGACTATTCGACTGTCAGTCGAATGGACTAACGATCCAATAATGAAACAACATTCAAATATTTAAAAATAAATGCAAAAAAGAGGGTGATAATGAAATATTCATCTCAAAATTTCACAATTTTTGTTCCCCTTCACCCATAGATGCTTTGTGCCAAATTTGGTTGAAATTGGTTCAGTGGTTGCAGAGAAGAAGCTGAAAATGTTCAAATGTTAACACACGACGGGCAACGCACATAAAAGATACAATGTATTTTGATATATAGCTTGGGCAATCATTAATTGAACAGTTTATAACATTAGGTCACCTGAGTTTACTCAGGTGACCTAAAAAGAAATGCTCCAAATACTAGTAGTCGACTATTGTTCCAATAATGCAGTTGAATGTTTGACCAAGGAAAATTAAAATTTTGACATTCCTCACAGAAACAAATATAAATATAGTTGTTCAATTATATAGAATGGTTGTTTAATTTATTTGTAATGTATTTCTTTAACACACGCCTGTTCTCAATTTTTAAATGCAACATGCATATATATCATTGTTCAAATCATATTGTATTCTAAAATTACCTTCTAATGTCATTATATCAGCTTTTAACAAGGTGGAAAAATTGGAAAACATGGCATCGATGTCTTCATGGGTATGACCAACGGGTAGCATATGCAGATAACACTAAATAATTGAAAAAACAATGACTATACTACACTATAATAATTTGAGAGTTCATATTGCAAAGGAAAATAATTTAATTCTGGTTGTAAGATGTCACTGGACTGGTATAAACATTTAATTATGACAATTTAATCTTTAAAAGAATATTTGTTTGCCCTCTCCAAACTTGGGTTTAAAAAATGGGTTGATAGGTAGGTGGAAAATTTTAATGGACTGTCCATATTATTACTCATAAAATGAATTATTAATTTTTACCTCTTCAAAAATACCAAGGTGAACCATAATGCCAAGGAAGCCAAGAACAGTCTTATTTTTGTTATCAGATGCACTGTCTGTCTGCAAGTGCAATTCCCTTCCCAGGCAGTCTTTGTAGTCTGCAAATATATATACACATATATATATTACGTTTTAACAAGAAGTGTTGCATTTTTACTTTATTTTCATATTGATTACTGGACACTATGACGCCAAGGTGTAAACATTGCAATGTATATGACGGTTACCTCTATATCATCAATGTAAGGTGTTGTTGCAAGAAAATATCTTAAAAGTTAATGCATGTGTATGGAGAGAAAGTATATACATGTACAAACAAATCTTTATGCCATACTAAATGTTTGAAATTTATAAATTACACAAGATGGGAAAAAGATTATTAATACAGCATAGTTACCAAGTAGAGTTTGCAGTAATACAGTCAGATTGAGATTGGAGTCGTGAGGATACTGGAGAAGATCAAAATACCCATATCCAACTTTCCGTGCTCCTGATACCTCTGTATAGTGTATAAAATATAGGTACATTTTACAATGATTATAAATCAGAAAACTAAATAGTGTAAAAGCAAAGTAGGAATAAACATTAATTCTTCATCTCATACTATCATAATAATTTAAATAAATTCACAATTTATTTGCTAAAAACCTGAATCTCTGTGTACAAGCAAGCCCAGCAAATGAGTCCTGATTTGCTGGAGGTTGGCAATCTGCTTAGAATTCCTAGATTTTGAAAAAAGAATGGGAATGTTTGTTTTTTTCTGGTCCATTCCATCCATGATAATAGTCAGGCATTTGCTGGGATACAACCTTGACACTTCTCTCCTCTCATAGTAAGCTTCTTTTTGTCTCCTGCAACATCATAATTTTCATCAGGGTGACTAAATCTAAAAACTTTTTATACCTAAAAATGACAGGCAATTTGTATACAACATATACCTCACATAATCCCAATGCTGCTTTTTTCTGTCCAGAATAATCATTTTCGCATCTCTCTCATATCTTCCACACTTCTCAAATTCAAAGTGGAGAGTCGTGCAAAGGTGGCACTTTGAAAAGGGGTTTTCCTGTAAACAAAAAATATGGTCCAAAATACTGGTTGAACAGCTGAGATGTTAAAATTTAGGGAGATACATGCATGTAGATGAAAAACAATGTTAAAATAGATTCTAACCAAACACTCAAGCAGATATTAGGCTGATATAGTCTCTATCAGGATAATTTACTATCTAAGAGAGCTAGGCCATAGAGTTAATTTTACAACATTTTCTTATTGAAGTGAAGCACTTGTACCCGGTAATATAGAGCTGATTAATGATAAGTTATGCATTTCAGGATTGAATTAAAAAGGCAACACAAGGTTTATTGTATAACCTGGGTTGGGGCAGTTTGTGCTTTATAAACCATGAAGCTCTTCATGACTCTTGACATATTTCATCAGCTTAATACCAATAAACAGAAAAGATTTTCAATGAATCAATGCATTTTAATTATATAACCAATAGAGCCCCACCCTAACACCAGAACCCCTGACCCAAGAGCAATTTTGAAAGGAGCATTATACATTGTATAATAATAATACTCAGAATTAGCACAGCAGATTTTTTAAATTTCAAATACTGCATTTTCACTCTTTATTCAACATAGCCCCACCATAGTACCAGAACCCATGACCCTGTGGCATTGAATTTCAAAATTTTCGTTTCCCTTCACCATATACGCTGAATTTTTTTTCAAAATTTACGAATGCTGAACGCTGACAGACAAAAAGATACTGCAGCAGGTGACCTACAAAAAGTACTAACTTTAACCACTGTTATATGTGGAAAGGATTTATTCCATATCTTCAGAAAGGATGACTTTGTCAGGGATTGAGAGTCAAGGTCAGATGCCATCATTTTCCAGACCTCTGTCTTTTTCATCCCTGCTGGATAAACCCTGATAATGATATGTATGTACACATAAAATAATTTGAATCAATATCTAACATTGTTGATACATGTGATGTTCATGTGATGTACATGCATGTGAAATAAACAAAATAAAGTAAACTTAGTCAACTGGTAAAACTTTTCAGTCTTAAACTATATCAGTTCAGAACTAAGTATCTGATTCTGATAATGTTAAATATTTATCCCATGTTTAACCTTTTATCCCCTTGATATAGGTCATGTGATAAGTGGAGTTCTATATATAAGAACACTCAGTGTTAAACATTGTTTTGGGTGTAAAAACATGGGATAAATTGAATCTCACATGATTTGTAGTCGGATGTGATTTTTATTTAAATTGTTGTGTGTCTTTTCTCCCCTTTCCAAGGCTCTGGGATAAAAAGAAACACAACAGTACAAATCATGGGAGATCCTATATGTATACAATGTATCAATGAAATGAACTAATTATTCTAAAGAGAGCACTGATTGTAATTTTCATTATTACCACTGTTTTGAATGGAAGGTCTCACTGATGCTGTGTTTGCATGAATCTTTTCTCTGACACCATTTCTGCTTTCAGTAAGATATTTGTTGTATTTGTATATCGAAACTTTATGAACTTCCCTGGAAGAAAAAGTACCAGTGTTATATTTTTACTCTTTATATATATATAATTTAATTTCACTTGAATCAAGCAGTTTCATTGGCTGAATCATTCAGAGGAACATATAACATTTTGGATAAAATAACTTGCCTACGTCACAATGAGTTACGTCAAAAACGTATTATTCCGCTTGACGTTACTTTTAAAATAATGCTCAATTTAAAGTCTTTTTTCGGTGGAAATATTGTGTCATTGTCTACATTGGAATTAAATTATAAGGAATGAAGCTAATTTCAACCTATGTTATCCGATATAACAAAACTGGGGGCAGTTTACGTTTTTTTATAAACTGCCATGCGGTTTATAAAGCGTAAACTGCCCCAAGTTATGTCATATCGGATAACATAGGTTGAAATTAGCTTCATTCCTTAAATATATATATGGATTTGGTACTTAAATTAGAATCAGCAAGTTTATGGCTTTTATGAAAAATTTGGAAATTAATTCACATAACCAGAGGCAAAAGGGTCTGAATACTAAGTTTAGCAGGCCATTAAAGTACATGTAACCTTTTTTTGTTTCCATGCACCAGTCTTAAATATACACTATATGTCAATACAATAGGTCATGGCTTTGCTGTTCTCCACTACCTGAGGATGCTCATTTGTTTCATTTTTCCTGATTGCCAGATATTGAGAAAAAAAATTTTAAATGACCCCACCAAAGCATTACATTCACTATTCCCTACTTATTCCCCATTTGAAAAAAATCTGTAGCCTTTTGTTTGATCAAACTTGAATTTACTTCACCCTAGGATGCAAAGTTTGGAGGGTATTGGTTCAGTGATTCTGGAAAAGAAGTTAAAAATTGAACACACTTTAAAACAAAGATAACAACGACTGACAATGGATGAATCTTGATCAAAATATTAAGCCCTGATGATCCAGCTTACAGTTCAGGTGTGCAAAAAAGATGAACACTTTCATATTGTATATACCTCCAACATTTTTCACAGATTTCTTTTCCACAGACAAGATGGCAAACTGTGTCCTGGGTTGAATGTTCAAAAAAGAAGTCTAAAAGCCACTGTGTATGTTCTTTTTGACTGCTTGGTTTATTTTTCCTTAATTCCAGTAGATCGTAGCTGAAGTATACATATTTCAATTCATCAAATGTTTTAATTACATGTGTTGAACCCTTTCTCATGTCAGTTCATAGAAATAAAGATGTAATGAATGAACAGAAGAGAGGGTTTTTTTTACCAAATTGGCCTACCTTGAAAGTCTAGATATGCAATTTTGAGGACATGCTTTCTGCCTTAATTCAATTCCATCATGGTTGGCACAATTGATGCCTAAATAAAATGCATTAGTAAAAAACGAATCTTAATTCATAATTTCCCCAAAAATGAACAAATAATTTTTTGTCGTTATATTCATGCACAGAAATGTGACATTTTAAAAATTTCTCTTTATTGATCATGATATAATCTCAATAATTTAAATATAACATTTTATCTGATGACTGAATAACTGCATACACATACTATGTACTTTTCGTTTACATTCTCTATAGTATCCAAACAAATTAAGCTTAATTACCTTTGCAAGCTTCATTATGTGTCTCACTTATTCCTTCCAGTTGGTCATCTACATCATTTGGAAATGGTTCAATTTCTTCTTCATTGTCACTGTATGGTTCTATTTCCTCTTCACTCTCAGGATATGGTTCTACTTTTGTTTCCATTGCTAGAATTAAAAACCATATCTAAGAAACTAAAGGAACTATTTTTGTAACACCCTGTAGATGTGTGAACATATAACGAAGTCCTATGCATATAGATACATATAAGCTTAAATATTTCTCATACATAAAAAATACAAAAAACATGTACATATATATAACACTAACCTGTAATATTCCGATAAGAGAAAGTATACTGCAGTAGGGTTTCTTTAGGATACTTTTACAATCTTCCGAATGGCCGGTGCCATATGTTTATATAAATAAATGTAAATAACACGTTACACTTTCCAAAAGTAAATCAGATTACTGTACACTTTGGACATGTTAATCATCCAGATTAAGAATAGGCCTAACTTCGGCTAACGTTCCAACGGAAATCTTTCATAAAATTCTAAATTCTTCTGAGAATATTTCGCGGATTTTTCTAAAACTCTGAAAAAATGACGTCAGGGTACAATGCACGTTTCAGCATTCGTAACGGTTATTTTGGAGAATTCTGTAGCCAGACAAGATGTGGGCGATAGAGGAAAAAGAAAATGTTTACTTTGCTATGAAAAACAATACCAGAATGCGGTTTTCCAGAAGTAAACATCTGTGTCCTCCTTTGGAACGACTGGATAAACCCTGCATCGAAGATCTGCAGTCGAAGCATATGAACTGTGACCCCCAGAAAGCCGTTATTGTAAGTAATCCAGAGATAATTAAGATAATCAGAAACTGACTTCATTTCATGAGAAATTTGTGTTCATAGTTGTTTGCAACATAGTTTACATCACAGCTTGTGGTAACACGAGTAAAATTTAACAACCGTGCCGCGCTTTCCTTCACTTAAAAAAAAAAATCCACGTATTGGCCCTAATACTTTGACATTATTCATTTCATCTGAAATATGCAAGCTTAGTAGAAATTAAAAATTATAAGTTCAAAATTTTAATAAATTAAAAACATTGAAATGTGTTGACAGAAAACAATGTCCGACTTTCATTCCGGCTTTGCACGTACCGTTTATATCAAACCAGCCAATGAAACATCTATAGGAAAAGGGGTTTTCCAAAGTACAGACTCGTTCAAAAGTACATTCATATTTATCTAAAAATAGTTTTAAGTGCATTTTCTATCGATTCCATGATGTTGCATTGCTCAGAATATATTATTATATTAATTATTATTTAATATCCATAATAATGGATACCCTTTTAATGTGTTTTATAGTTGATTCAAAATGTGCTCTCTCTCTCTCTCTCTCTCTCTCTCTCTCTCTCTCTCTCTCTCTCTCTCTCTCTCTCTCTCTCTCTCTCTCTCTCTCTCTCTCTCTCCCCCACAAGAACATTAATATTCATTTTAAAATACATAAAGTACATCTTTCCATTAATTCTATGATCTGCATTGCTGAGAATATTTTTTTTTACCTAAGAATGTATATCCTTTGTTTTTATAGTTGATTGAAATTGCTCTCTCTCTCTCTCTCTCTCTCTCTCTCTCTCTCTCTCTCTCTCTCCCACAAGAACATTAATATTCATTTTAAAATACATAAAGTACATCTTTCCATTAATTCTATGATCTGCATTGCTGAGAATATTTT